GATCCGCGCTTCACGGCGCGTTTCTGGCAAGAAGTGTCCCCACTTCTTGGAACACGGTTCTCTATGTCGACTGCGGATTATCCGCAGGCGGACGGGCAAACCAAGCGCGTGAACCGCGTGCTCGTGGACTTGCTGAAAAGCTACGCCCAGTCGTTCGACAACTGGAGCGACTACTTGCCGATGGCCGAGTTCGCCATCAACAACGCGGTGCATACCTCGACCGGGCATACACCGTTCTTCGTGAACGCCATGCGGCATCCACGGCTTCCGAATACACTCGGGGCGGTACTTCCTCCTTAAGTGGGGGATGATCTAGGGTTGCATCCGAACAACCGCAGAAGACAACTGATACGGATCTATCAGCTGCGATGACACGTGCGAGAGCGAGAGCCCGCACACGACAAGGCGACGTGTCAGTGCCGGGCACAAAGGACCACGCACAGTCGGGGACTGATGCGACTACAAGTGGCGAGTCTGTGCAGGACACAGACGCGGACAAAATCAATGAGCTGGACCCGGGGTTCAGCTCTCAAGCAATGGACTTTGTCCACGAACGACAAGCAGTCGTTCGCTTTGTACAAGATGCAATTGCAGCTTCTGCGGATAGGCAGAAGCTGAACGCAGATAATGTTTGAAGAGGTAATACAAATGAATTCAAAATGGGTTCATTGGTTTTGTTATCAACGCAAAACTTGCCTACTCATGCAGTTTCTGGATTCGGAGCAAGAAAGCTTGCTCCGCTCTTCATTGGACCGTTCACAGGGACAGAACGTCACGGCAGCGCATACAAGTTGGAACATCCTTCCGACATGAGACTCCACCCAACATTCTACGTTGGGCGCTTGAAGCCATACGTGCAGCCCGAGTCATCTAGTCGTGATGACTCGTCGAAGACGACGCGTGGAGCGCCCTCACCTTCTCCTCAAGCTTCTTCACCCTCTCGTGGAGACGGCGAATATATTCCATCACCTCAACACGGATGTTTGAGGCGGTCTGAGCGACATCGCCCACATAAGTCTTCTGCACGAGCAGCAGTTGCCTCCATTCAGCAAACTCAGCAGCCTGAACGGCCGAAAGAGCCTCCATGCGATTATGGAGCGCCTGAGGGCTATGGTCAACCCGGGGTTATATGATGAGCGTCCAGCACCGCCGACAGAAGCATAACTCTGTTCGCGGTACGATCCACCGCGAGGTGGATCGGATTGTTGACCATACCAGTCTGAAGACGAACCGAGGTCCAGTTCGTTTTCGTATTCGTAGGAGACAATCGGCTCTCCTTCGAGATACGTGGTTCCCCCGCAACGTCCTGATGATGGACGTTCCGGAAATGGTGAAGGCGTACGAAGCCCACCACGGACTGGAGGCGTAACACTGCGGGGTGCAGTGTTTCGTGTAGTGTGGTGCTCAGTCACAACACTAGGATGCTGACGCATGCAAGCAAGCTTAGCACGTAGCTCCTTAACGTTTGCAGGTACACGGTTAGTCGTGTACCCCGTGAGGTCTCTCTCACTGATGCGGGGCGCACCAGTGGGGCAGTGCGGGCAATGAACACCCTCCGGCACTGCACAAGGGATATTCGCGTTGATCGAACCTTCGTGAACGCGCTGGACGACAGAAGTTTTGGAGAACTTCATGAAACGCTCACGAGCGGAAGCGATCCGCTCGCGATAAGCTGCCGGACCACTGTTGAAGTTCGCAACAAACTGGTTCCAGCTTTGACAGAGTGCCTGCCACTCGGGCACTCTGCTTCGTCCGAAAGTCCAGTACCGGAGCTCGTGAAAGAGCGACATGTAGTAATCTCGCCTTTGGTTCGTCGAATTGTCGAAGTGCTTCGC